GGCATGTTCGGTCCATCCTGCCCGTGCTCCGGTGCTGGGCGTGCCTTTCCCCCGAGCCGAGTCCGCGGGCTGTGGCCGGGCAGATCTGAAGTTTCGCCACCACACCCAAAACTCTCCCCTTCCCTCTCGGTTAAAGGTGCAGACCCGGCCACAGCGAAGCCCCTCCTGCCTTTGCAAACTGCCGAGTGCTTGAGGCGCTGACATTTAATTTTTCGGCCTCCCGCTGTTGTCCCCAAGCAGGTTCCCCAGCCCCGCTCTCTGCGCAGAACTGTAAATAAATCCAAGACCTCGCCTCTGTGTGCGGACCGGCCTCTTGCACAAGGAGTGAAAGAACCCGTTCCGGGACAACACCACCACCCCGTGGCTCAGTCGGTTAAATCGCGTTCCTGGGAGCTCTTCCAGGGTGGTGATTTCACGTAGTGAACAGAAGGAGGAGAAGGAGAAGAGATAAAAGGGAGCAAGCGAGAAATCCTACAGCAAACAATGGCAACACCAAGCCTTAGGAATATAAATCCCACTAAAATGGGATTTATAAAAAATGTCGCTCCTGTTTGCATCAGCCATTTCCCCCATCCCACAAGTCCCAGAAGCTACAACAGTGAGAGGATCCGTGGGTCGGGATTCCATGCACCAAACCAGGCATTATTGGAGCAATCCCACTGTTTACTCAGTGCTTTGGTTCACCTTGGATGGAGCTGCTTTCTCTGGAAGTCACAGCGTTGTGAACACAGCATTCTCTGTGGGTGAAGTTTAACATCCCACGTCTCCCGTGTTCCTTTAATCACAACACGTCTGACACCAATCCATTTTGCAATGTCATCCTCGATGCCTGCTGAACTACAGGTTTGATTCTCCAAAAGCACGTCTTGCCCAGTTGCTCAGAGCATCTACTTGCCAGGTTGCATTTTCTAGAGCCTATTTGTGTCTAATTATTACACAGGGAGACAACTTGCTTCCAGCCTGAGGGCTAAAGCCATTCTGAAGGCAGGATCAGAGAATTGTGGAATGATTTGAGTTGGAAGGATCTTAAAGCTCATCTTGTTCCACCCCCTGCCATGGGCAGGGACACCTTCCACTAGCCCAGGTTGCTCCAAGCCCCATCCAACCTGGCCTTGGACACTCCCAGGGATGGGGCAGCTTCTCTGGGCAACCTGTGCCAGGGCCTCCCCACCCGCCCAGGGAACAAATCCTTCCCAATATCCCATCTAACCCTGCCCTCTGGCAGTGGGAAGCCATTCCCTGTGTCCTGTCACTCCACTTTCTGATGCTATGGGAACCCTCTCTTGTGCCCTATAGGCCTGGAAGGTGCTGTGAGGTCTCCACACAACCTTTTCCTCTCCAAGCAGACACCACTCAGGCTTTGCAATGTTTCTCATCCATTCATGTGCTGTAAATCCCCTTCTGACAGTGTCACATTTCTGTCGAGGCCACTTGGGCACTGAGCAATTAAAAACTCTATTTGGGCACAGATAAGGGATGCCTACTCCACATTTCAATCCTGCACATTTCTTTAAGGTTAAGTAAGAATAGAACTTTTCCATTAGAGCATCCCCAGGCCAGTCCTGGAGGAGCAGGATAAATGCTCGTTCCACAGCTGAGTTTTAATTGGAAATATTTTACAGCAGTTAAAGCAGAGGCTCCGTGGGAGGTGGATTGAGGATATTGTTGGATTCCACGTCAAACCCCCTCCACAGGAGGTTTTGTCCTGTTCCTCTGTACCGTGATGGCTGAAGTGGTGTTTGGGAGCCTCACACACCCACGGGTGTCCCATTGCACCAAATATTCTCCTTCCTCATAATCTGGTTCCTTAAAAGGATCAAATGTGGGATCCCAGGGCAAAGCCTGGCAGGATCCATTTCCCTTGCACTTCCCAGGTGCACAGCAATCACTGACTGTCAGATTTACTCCTGGAACTGAGTCACTGCACCCAGAATCTGGTGTTGATTTGAGGGGGGGAGGATCCCACACCAGGTCAGTAGATCTGTCCTTTAACATAATGACCCCCCCCCAGTCTATCCAAGTCTGATCAGGTGGGGCATGAGAGAGGGAAGTTACATTCCTTCAGCTGGTAAAAATCACAGCAGACAAATTTATGGGCAACAGAAAGGATCTCATTCCTTGCTGCGTGGATGAGGCAAAGCCCTTGGTTTAGGGAAATACAGGGGGGAGAAAAAAAGGAAAAATGGGGACAGTGAACTGGAATAGAACAGAGACATAGAAAAAATCACAGAAGGGAGTGCACTAAAGAAACACAAGAAATAATTGAAAAAGAAAGTCAGTGAATGGGATAAAGGTAGATGGTAAATTTTATAAAGCAATGAGGTGTTAAGAATTAGAGAAAAAAAATAATGAACTAAAATGGAGATGTAGGGACTGTCCTCCTTCCCAGGGCACAGGACAGGCTTTGCCCAGCTTTCTGGGATCCCTTCTCCCTCCCCGGGTGCCCGGGGGGCTCAGCAGGACTTTGCATGGGATGGTGCAGAGCCCTGATCCTTCCCTGGGGGCACAGCAGGATCTGAGGGGCTTTACACAGGACAACACAGACCCCTGCTCCTCTCCAGGGGGCACAGAGGGATCTGAGGGGCTTTACATGGGACAACACAGACCCCTGCTCCTTCCTTGGGGTCACAGTGGGATCTGAGGGGCTTTGACCATGTCCACAGAGCCCCCTGCTCTATCCCAGGGTCAGCTGTGGATCTCTCTGTGCTCTGCCTGAGCCCACAGGAGCCCCCCCAGCGCTCCCCCCGAGGTGCTCAGTGGGCTCCACGAGCCTTTGGCAGATCTCCACAAGGCTCCGCTCCCTCCCACGGCTCTGCCAGTCCTTCTGCAGGCTGGACGGCCCCTTCTCCCTCCCGGGGCACACAGTGGTCCTCCCTGGGCTTTGTGCAGGCCCGCAGGTGCCCCCACTCCCACTCCTGGCACACCATGGGCTCCTCCAACCTCTGCCCATTCCCTCTCACGGAGCACGACGAGCTTTGATGTACTTTGTGCTCCCACCTCGTGCACACCCTGGGGGGGGGGAGCAGGGCCCCCAGCACAGAGCCTGGGGGGACCCTACAGTGTGCCCAGGGCCCCACCAGCCCCCCCTTCCCTCCCCCCGCGGTGCCCTCGGGCCCCGTGGCTCCTCGGCACAGACCCACGGGCAGCCCCGGCTCGCTCCACACCAAACACCCTTTATTCACCGCCTGCACCGCGGGCTCAGGGACAGCCCCAGAGCACCCCAGTGCCCGCAGGGATGCTCTGTCCCCTCCTGGTCAGTCCTGTGTCCCCCCCCCCGGGTCCCTCAGCGGTCCTTCCTGCGCAGCGGGGGGGACGGCGGGTAGTGGCGGGCGGGGGGCACGTCGTAGTGACTGGGGATGTGGCTGTTCTTGGGGGAGTCGTAGTGGCTGGGGGGGTCTGTGCGTGTGGGGCCGCCCTCTGTGGGGACAAGAGAAGGCTGCAAGGCGACATGTCCCCCCCCCCAGGGGTCACGAAGCCCGTGTCACCGAGGCCACGTCCCCCCGGGGTCATGTCACCCCCCCAGAGCTGTGCAGCCCCTGGCATCGGGGCTGTTTCCCTCCCGGGGCCATGCAGCCCCCCATCAGCAGGACTAACACCCCAAAACCCCCCAAAACTCAGCCTAACCCCCTAAACTCAGCCTAACCGGGCTTTGCCCCCCCCGCACCCACCCACGGGGGTCCCCCAGCCCCCCATAACCTGTCCTGCCGCCCCCCACCCCCGAGTGACCCCCGACACGCGTGGAGGGGGAAGAGAAAGAAATTTAGGGGGTGGGGGGGACACGAAGGACCCCCTTTTGGGGGGCAAACGCAGCCCCGGACCCCTCCGAACCCCCCCCCGTGCCAGGGGACCCCCCAGCCGTACCCTCCTGGGGCGGCTCCTCGGGGACCCCGATCTCGGCGTAGGACATCTCCCGCCGGACAGGGGACTTCATCTCCATGTAACTGCCCTCGGGGGCCTTGGCAGTGGGGGTGGGCAGCTCCTTGATGGTGGCATAGGGGTTCTCGCTGGCCAGGGAGCTGGCACTGGCCCCCAGCCCCTCCCGGGGGTGCTCTGAGGGAGGAAGGAGTTGGGGATCTCCCCGTGACGGGGAGCGGGAGCAGCCGCGTCCGGCTGCGCCCCAGGAAAGTCCCGGTCCCATCCCTTCCCTATTCCAGCCCCGCCTCTTCCCCATCACAGCCCCACCCCTGGCCCTTTCCCTTCCCCATCCCCACCCCATTCCAGTCCTGTCCCAACCCATCCCCACCCCATCCCTGCCTCTTACCCATCCCAGCCCATCCCTGTCATGCCCCAAACCCGCCAAGTCTCCATCCCAGCCCCGACCCCATCGAGTCTCCATCCCAGCCCCATCCCCATCCCTTTCCCATCCCAGCCCCATCATCATCCTTTTCCCATCCCATTCCCATTCCCACCCTTTTCCCATCCCAGCCCCATCCTTTTCCCATCCCAGCCCCAGGCCCAGTCTTATCCCTTCCCCATCCCATCCTTTTCCTCTCCCCACGCCATCCACATTCATTCCCCATCCTCCCCCCATCTCTCCCCCCTCCCCTCCATCCCCCTCCCTACCTTTGCTGTCACCCTTTCCCAGCCCAGGGCTGTAGCTGTAGCTGTAGCTCCGGTCCAGCTGCCCCCCTGTGTAAAGGGGGCAGGTTTGGGGTCTCCCCTGCTTCATCTTCCTCCAAGCTTTAAAGTTCTCCGTCCACTCCACCCCACCCCAGCCCCTTCCCCATGGATCCCGAGCAGGGAGGGGACCCAGGTGCCCATCCCACCCTGGTCAAGGTCCCCAATGGCTCCCTTGGAGCTGCCCCC